TTTGGGTACCTTATATGTATGAAAGTACCTCTTTTCTGTCCTCATACTTGAATAATGGTGTATCTGAGTATTGAATTTTAAACTGGAAATTATTTTTCTTCAGCGTTTTGAAAGAATGGGTCTCATGCTTTCTTGCTTCTAGGGTTGCTCATAGGAAAATCCGTATCTGTTTTGATTCCTGGCCATCTCTAAGTATGTGACTTGTTTGTTCTCTTTCTGAAAGCTTAGGATATTTTTTTAGTACCTATTATTCTGAAATTTTACATGATGTCCTTGATGTGACTCGGTTTTTCTTTTGTGTTTTGGACATTCAAGAGGGCTCTTTTTATTCTGGAAGTGTGTATCCTTTACTTTTGGGAAATTTTCTTAAAGTATTTCATTGATTTTCCTCCCCTCCATATTTGCATTCTCTCTACATAATTGTTATTGTATGTTGAACCTCCTGGACTGGTCCTCCAGTTATCTTACTTCTATTTTCCATCACTTGTTTCTTTTTACTCTATTTTCTGGGTGATTTCCTCAGCTTTACCTTCTCACCCTTGTATTGATGTTTTATTTCTGCCATCATGTTTTTAATTTCAAGCTCCTTGTTATTCTTTTAATGTTTCTTTTTAAATAGCAACTGCTTTTGTTTTGTGGATGCACTATAATCTCCTAACTCTTTGAGGATATTAATGGTATTTTCGCCTCTTTGGACAGTTTTGTTTTCCTATAAGGTGCTTTCTAATATATAATTTCTAATATAATTTTGTGTTTGTTATTCTCTCTTTTCTTTCTGATAGTCCTTAGTTGTCTGTTCATGATTTAGAACAAATAATCCCAAAGAGACCATGAAGTTGTGAGCATGTGGATGTTGTCCATGTGACAGGAGCTTTAATGTAGCATTCTCTCCATGGGTTATTAGCGACTGGCCAGGTTTTCTCTAGAGTATTCCTGATCTCCTGCCTGAAGGAAAAGGTCTGCCTCCCAGCATTTTGGGGAGCCCAAAGTGAGAAGAGGGTTGGGACTCATTATCGGGGCGGGGGGGGGTTGGGGGGTGTGACTTAACCTTCTGTTTCTGGTACTATACCTGTGCCTTCATCGGTGCTTAGCCCACTACCTCTCCAGAGGTTAAACCTTCAGTCTTCCACCCAGCTAGTGTGGAATGGGGAAGGGGATCCAGAGATCTGATTGTTTCTCAACATAAGGTTCACCCAGTTCTCTTTATTTTGATCCTTCTATTCCTACCCTCACTTCCAAAAGTACCCAGTGAATGCTAGTTCCTGGGGGTTTGGTTTGTTGGTTGGTTTCTTGAAGATTCTGCAGTGTAAATTGGGTTGGTTACAGCTTGACAGTTGCAGTCTTAGGAGTCAGCTTTCTCGGGTTTGCCAAGACAATCTTTTCTAGTCCATCTTGCTTCCGCACTGTTGATGTTGGATCTTTTCCTTGTGGATTATATCTTTAAAATAATAAGTCATGGGGCGCCTGGGTGGCTCAGTCGGTTAAGCGGCTGCCTTCGGCTCAGGTCATGATCCCAGGGTCCTGGGATCGAGCCCCACGTCAGGCTCCCTGCTCGGTGGAGAGCCTGCTTCTTCCTCTCCCTCTCCCTGCTGTTCTGCCTACTTGTGCTCTCTCTCTCTCTGTCAAATAAATAAAATCCTTAAAAAAAAAAAAATCTTTAAATAATAAGTCACTTTTCTGTTGTTTTATTGAGTTTTGCATTTGAGCAAGACTAGTTGTTTATGTTCAAACTGCCACCTTATGTGCACTCTCCCCCTTCCCCCCGCCTTTTTTTTTTGGCTGTGTATTTCTTTAGCAAGTGTAGGCATAGAACGTAAAGGGTCATCCTGTTGCCTTTAAAACAGAGTTTTTCTTGAGCTGCCATCAGGACAAATATTATAAAAAATACCTGTTTTTAAAATATATTAACCCATACTTGTTTGTACTAAGTTTTCTATTGTTTTTTAATCTCCATATTGTTGCTTCACAGTATAAAAATACCACTGTATCTTAATCTCAGGAAACAAACTGAGGGTTGCTGGAGTGGTGGGGGGCGGGAGGGATG